TACGTGAGAAAGAGGCGAGCAGAAGCGGGATCGAGCTATCGTCGCGCAAGAAAGCCGGACAGAGAGCGAGAGGGACAAGAAAAGGAGCACGGGAACGGGAGTCAAGGAACTAGAAACGAATTCCATTTGTGCGACTGAGAGAGGACGAGGCGTGAACGGTGGAATCGACGGAGATACGGAGAATCAGAGGATAGGATAAAAAGGGTTGTGGCACGACGTTGGTCGCGAGGTACACGCCGCGCTTACCGTACCGCGCGTGTACCGAAGTTAGAGAAAGAATCAACCACGTAGGAACGCAGGCTGAGAAAGCAAGAGAAACCGAGCGCACCGGATAGAAGGGAGGATGCCGGGTAAACGGAACTCGGGGCGTAGAAGACACGGATAGATTGTAAATAAGAGAGGAAAGCATGGTGAACGTACAGGATTATTCTGAATCGAAAAGCTCTCGACGAGTTTCTACCGGCTTGCATTGTCGGTACGCTAGAGGGCACGTTCTGGTACGAGGTGTTGCACGACTACAAGGTGTTACAGAGATATACTCCGGGCATACCGCGCACGTGTACGCACGCGTACGCACACGTACACCATTGACCGGCGTGCAACAATCGCTTAACCATTGACTGGAACCTCCGGATCCCTCGCGTTATTCCTATCGAGGTCCTCGCGTTCTCTACTCCGACCTTAACAGCCTCGAAAATCTATTAAAGGCGGAATTTCGGCAAATAAACGTTTAGTATTGGCCGTTGTCGATGGAATTGTCGGTGTAGTAATAACAACGAAATGTCCAGTCGTAGTAATTAAGTCGGTGATTAAATTTGCATTGCTAATGGATCTTTATGATTGCGGAGATTGAGAGATTAGAAGAAACCTAATGTCGAATCTATGTTCCAACGATTAAAAACTACGAAAACCGATCAGATATACGTCCTTAATGCCATACATTACCGAACGCAATACCTCGTAGGACCTTCCGTCGAGGTCGCTGCGATCAAAAGTCGTTTTGTATCGTAACGTCAACGACCCACCCTTCCTTCCTATCCGGAAGCAAAAGTCGAGTTAAACGTACTTTCGCGGAGGGCATGGCTGAACTCGTCGCGATGCGAAGC